AGTAAATCAGATCCATATTGAATAATGTAATAAAACAGTCACGTATTTGTAAAATGTTTGACTGAGATCGAAAGCATGAACAATATATCAGACAATAAATAGTCAATCAGGGATAACAGTTTCCCTAGTCAGTGAATTCTAACTAATGGTTGTAAGACTGCTTTTCCGCTCATTACAATAAGATCTCAGTGGTTAAGCATGTATCTATTAACATCCTATCAGAAATGTTCAAAGTTTATAGATGAAATAGACTCAAAAAGAGTTAAACAAAGTTGTAGGAAGAAATTCGAAAAACGAGTGATAAAAGCTGCAACTAAACTATTTTTTCTAAATTCTACGACAGGAACGTTCTTTTCAATATCAGTTTTGAATACTATTTGGAGAGGTATTGAAAATAAAGATCAATCATCATATAAAATAAATCCTAATCAACAATTTTGCATGACGTATTATACGACCAACTAGATACGTTTTTATCCCGAAGCGTGACCACTTTTTCTGTAAGATTTCAATGGTTGATCGGATTATCATTTAATATGCATGCAAGTGCCGTTGTAGCCACCTAAATCCCCTAATGTGGCGGAGGTTGGAATGAGTCAGCTTAACCTAGGGAAAAGTTGTAATGTAGTCATAATTTTTGTCAGAAAATTCCTGCTATCTGCCCTCATGTAGCGGAAGTGTTTGCACACAAGTGACCTTAAGCGTAGTTTATGAATTTAAAACGACACACTTGTCATTCTCTTACTGGTTTGGTGAATACAAATTACCAAAAACATATCTAAAATGTTGATTCAGTTATTTTCGAGGCTTAATCATTTGTTCTGTCAAACGGCACTTTAGTCACCTGAAAAACTAACATTGTTCAAACGGCTCCGGTGCGGTTGTAATCAGTAAGAAAGAACATATCGATAAGATGAAACTAACGCTGGATGGTCCTGCACGATTCAGAACGGATGGTTATGATAAAGATACGACAGAAACAATTAAAAAGGGAATCACCAAAGAACTCAAAACAAAAGTGATTGGTAGTGAAACCCACGGTGAACTCAGAAGATCTCGCATACCATTAATGTACATACAAGCAAAAATAAATGAAATCAAAAATAGGACCGGTAATGGAAGATATTTTCCTGTCATACTCAGAAAACATCACCCTAAAACCTGCAATCGATTAAACCATGCTTTATTTAAGATACATTGATGAAAACTTTACTATCTGTGAGAAGGCTGAACAAGCAAGGGATCTGCTTCAACATTTCAACAATGTACGTCATAGCACTAAGTCTACGATGGAACGTGAAAAGAAGCAGCGGTTGAATTTTCTCAACTTATGTTTGCGACGTAATGAAGAAGAAACAACAGAGAGGAGCATTCATCGCAAGACTACATGGAGGGGTCAGTATTAAAACTTCAACAGCTTCTTCCAATCGGTTACTAGAGAGGTTTAGTGAGAGAGATTATGTCACAAGAAATAGTTCAAGAAAAATCTCAACTAGTGGAACGATGTCTACAGAGTAATGGTTATCCGATGTTCATTCAGAGGTGCTACAAAAGTAAGATGAGAGTGGGGTGGATGCATTACTGTTGAAAAGAAACCAGTGTTTCTTACTTTGGCTTTCAAAGCAGATGATATTGTGAGGAGAATTGACAGACAAATTAGAATTGCACTCTCTAGGACCCATCCAGCTGTATGCAATTATACAATCCAAATTACTGTGTCAACTCCAACTGTATTTATCAATTCACATGTACATGGGGTAGCAGTTACGCAGGAAGAACAGAGGGGTCATTGTCAACCAGAAATCCCAGTCCACTTCTGAGGTTCATCCTCATTCAACATTGAATTAGCTCGTCACTTATGCAGCACAGGATATCAAGTGGAAGGGACGAAGCACCGCATAGTAGTCAACAGACGAAAGACCTAGTTCCTACTTCGAATTGTGGAAGCCACTACCATCCGACGAGACCAACTGCAACTATGTTTAGGAGATGACAGATACCAATTTATTACTACCCTGGTAATGACCGACTTTTCGCTCTTTAATCTTCCCCAAGATATTTCTAATACATTTATACTTTGCTTATTCATGCTGACTTGTATTTGCTATCATTACAAGCTCTGTCTCGAAGACTTGTCATTTTGTTAACGTATTATCTTCACATGATTACGAAACATTTACTTATTTCCAATCTTATCTCTCTAACTTGCCTTATAGTTTGACTGAATTTACCACTTGAACTTTTTTTGTGACCTGAATCACTGTTTTCCTGTTCTTTAAAACATTAACCGGTATCTTAGAACGCTCCACATGAGGTGTGCCAACATTTGTTGTGGCGACTATTTATCTATATATTCAGGTTTTATACGGCTGAAAAAAGTTCTATGAAGTAATTCAATCCTACAAACGGATGTCCTTGTTGCGTTAATCAAGTTCATAAAGGAACTAAATGCATGAAACACTGTTCAACCCAATTTTCGAGCTGTTGTGAACTTCTCATAGTCATGTAATAACTTTCCAAACCTATTTAACCGTTGTTTCCATTTATTCCGAAAATATTTACCTAACCACGCTAAAACTAGCTAACGTCCTCACAATTCACTCTGTAACTGCTTTACGTTATTCTTAAACTACGCTTCTTCCTGTTCCCGCGGTTGTTCTTATGTCAGCTAGATGAAGGTATGTGGATTTTTATTGTAGTGTATACAGTTTGATCTTCACCATGTAGTAAGCACACAAAGAAAATGCATGAAGTAAAGATCAGCTCATATTAGTCTGCTTCAATTGCTTTTCCTATTACATTCAAGCACAAAAATCAACTGGCAATAATGTTTTACAAAGGCGGTTTAGCATAATTTTAAGATATACTTTAACAATGACATCACAGCCATATTGGGTTAAAATAAAAGAAACATAGTTTAAAGATAGATCGGATACGAAATGCTGTCGTATCATCAAAATGAAATGGAAGTTTTAGAAATATTTAGTCTCTATAAGCATGATATACAACAGAAAAATAAGAGTATTATAGGTAAATTTCTAATGACAAGCTTACGCAAAGATAAGTTTCTATTTTGGTAATTTTTCGAGCAAAATAAAGACTGATCTATGTGGAAACTTGTCATTGGTAATTTACTTATGATGAACAAATGAATTAAATTTTCATTGATGTAGAAAAATTGAGCCGTAAACGGAATGGTGTTGAAGGCGAATTGAAATTAAGAGTGGATGCACTACTTGAGACAGGTCTCGTGAAATGGATTATCTTCGGTAGAATGAAATTACTTAGTTACCTGAAACTTATAGTATGGATTTCGTCTTTACATATACTGGATGATTGAAGGTGAAATGAAAATTTGGACCACGGGTGGACTCGAACCAGCGACCGCCGGGTTTCCTGTCCAGTGCTCTACTAACTAGGGTGCGGAGCCCGAGTGATGACCAGGTTTGTTTCACTTCAATCACCAACGGTTTTGTCCAACTACCGCGTAAATTCGTCACACATTACTACCGCCTGGTCTTACTTGCACTGACTGACCAGTCAGGACATCTCATCCTAATCCAGAATCTAACTGAATTGGAGAGGGGGAGCATCATATTAGTTATTATTTAGACTAAGATAGTCGTAGTTTGGCAGAATTTGGTCAACAGCAGGACTCGGACCAGCGACCACTGGATTTCCTGCCCGATACCCTGCCAACCGACCAATATGATGTTCCTCCTCTCCAATTCAGTTAGATTTTGGATTCGGATGAGAAATCCTGACTGGTGAGTCAGTATGAGTACGGTCAAGCGGTAGTAACGTGTCACGAATTCACACGGTAGTCGAACAAAATCCTTGGTGGTTGAAGCAAAATACAAATCTGATCGGTCGGGCCTCGTAGCTCAGTTGGTAAAGCACCGGACAGGATACCCACTAGTTCAAATCCCCCGTGGTCCAAATTTTCATTGTACTTTCAATCATCACCCACTATCAACACTAGTCCCCCAAACCACGGCTATCTCAGATAGTCGAATTGATAATCATTATTTATCGCATGAGTTGTGTAAGAAATTTAATGTCTCTTTCAGAAAATAAATAATACACATTCGTTCTAATTAGTTACCCATTCCACGTGTACTTTTCTGTGACAAACTATTCACAATCACATTGACATATGTAATTAAATATTCATGTAGAAATAACATTGAATTCAATGTAAGCTTAGAAGATAGACGTGAATAAATGACATCTAGATCAACTTAAAGTCCAACCGCTTATAATATAACATTGTCAACTACTTAATCATTTCATTCAATAAAGGATAGCATAAATTATTGAGAAATTATCGGTTAGCTGACTTATGCTTCCACAAGCGATAAAAAAAGACTGATAACACACGTAAATACTATAAGTGAAATTTCTATTGGATTCTATGTGATACGATGCCTTTTTAATATTACAAGCATATATCCTACCCTACACTTCAATCTAAACCGATGTCGAGTTCATACACTGGACAACAAGTCACAGGTTTAATCACTACGGCTTCCATAAATTTGGAAGCATAGTCAAAGATACGCCACCGTTTACCGAACTACGTGACGTTCTAACGATTTTCGTAAATGGAAGATGCCTTCTTATAGTATATTTTATACCAATAAAGGGTTGGTAACTAACATATACGTTCCTTTTATGAGTGGGCAACTTAACAACAAGTCAAACCTTCCTATTGAGTAGCGCTTAGAAAATAAAATTCAAAAATTATTGTAGAGACGAGGATACTAGTATGCGAAAAAAAAACTCGAGATACCAATTAATCCGTATAGTAGCCTCATAGTGTGACTGATATACGGAGATTAGATACGGGTCATATCAATAACATTTCTTTCGGTCTACCCTCAAGGCAAAGTCTACCCTTTTTCGAATTTATCGCTTTAAGGATCCGACAATAAGTGTACTCATCGGGTAATTTTGATGTATGCCAGTCATTATTTCATTTCGTGAATTGGTTACACAAACCTATTCTAAGATGAACTGACTTTAAATACTAGTCACTTCATTACACATGACAGTAAAAATCACAACGAAAAGATTCGAAGTGAAGAACGGATCTACAACAAACATATCGCCATACTTATTAGATATGACAATGCAGTATAAATAATAATTAGCATATTGTAACTTGAAAAATAAACACATACAAGAAAGAATGGCAAGTAACCGATCTCTGTGGGTGAGAATAATCTTTCCACTTGAATATGCAACACAGTTTTAGGAGATTCTTCGTTTTCGGAACGAAATTTTGCAAACTGTTTATTAGCTTCCTCGATAGCGGACACAGTTGCATTATTAGTATTCGAGTTGCTGAGAGAAGCGTATCTGCTAAATTGAATTTCCACAGGATACTTGCCACGTAGTTTTGGGGGGCATACAGTTGTGTAGTAACCAAACATGGATTCAGCCGATTCCAATGTATCCATTTCAATAAGAGCCTGTAACAGAATTCATTAAAAAAACGTGCAATAAATTAAGTACAGCATTTTAGGTGTCTCTTAAAACAGTGGTTACTAAAAAAGGAAGGCAATGTGTTATCATGGAATTTTACCTTTCCTATGTTTTACAACTAAATGATGACACTTCACTCCTATCGAGACAAAAATAACATTTCTTTCCAAGTAATTAGTTTAGCAGTTAACAATTGTGCACGTAACAATTTTTAGGTTACATATTGTTTGCCCTAAATTCTATGAGTTCCTGAAGGAAATAACGTGTTCAATAGAATATTATTTGGCAATCAATTCTAAGACAATGGCATATTCGTTATTGGGGTTACTTTTAGAACATGGTACTAACGATAACTTAGTTCGGTAACCAAGTTTGATTCTATAAATTTAGATATACTACAGGTTATGGTGAAATGAGGTTTTCAAAGGACTGTGAACTGATGCTTTATTTCTTGTCTACCTTGAAACTATTTACAGAGAAGAGCGAAATCTGTATGTAGTCGGAAGCCTTGTAAACTCAATCACACAAACGCCAAATATCTAAATTACGATAATCACGAGTTAGTTGAGTAGTAACTACTGGTTAGTGTGTAACATGGGTTCTATATTCCAGTCTTCCTATAACAAATTCTTATAAAATTAGTTCCAACCATCAAAAATCAAAGCAGAAGAAACAATGATGAATGCATACGACAATTGTTTCAAAAAACAACAGTGAACAATCATCTGCAGCCTGGTTTCTATACTCAGCAGGAGTATCTTGAGAAATATGCACGAGCAATCACGAAGTAATCAGTTCAACTGAGTATCCTTACCCTCTTGTACCTCTATATTTTCTTAGAATCAGGTTAGTCTCATAATTAATTAGCCATCAAACAACTGGAAAAAGCTGGTCACCATATACAAGTGCGTAGTCACCCTTTTTAAACAAGTGCTTTGTGTTCATTTTTTATTACAACCTTATGTGATCTGTCAAGTTTTCTGAACTTTAGTGTTCCTAACAAATGGTACAGTTTATTTTCTAATATGTTGTAAATAGTAATAAATATAAGCTTCACAGTACTTGAATTTGTCCGCAAAAAATATCCATAAGAAATAACTAGCATGAATTACAGAATACTAGAATTCATAACCTTAAGATGTCTAAGTTCGAATAAACAAAATTGCAAGGAAATGTTGGTAAATGAATAGCGTTATTTGCATACCTGACAATTTTTCTTGGTTAGTATCATATTCGCAATTGAACCAAATGGTATAGCTAAAATCGTAACTTCATGTTCAGTAATATCCGGTGGCAGACCACGAACATGGAGAACACACGATTCAGGTACGGCATTTGAAGTATTGCTATCTAATCGCGCCTGGAACATAATAAAAATAGATTCGAATCACATGTCCTCATTAATTCAGATGACTTAATTACGAGTATTTTATCTGAGAAATTCAGTATATTTGTGCTATACATTTCGAACGGTTTAATAACACATACATTTTATATGAAAAGTGGGAATAGAAGCAATTCAGTGAAGTTCATTGCCACTCTTATTGCTACATTCTTCAATGCCATTCTCTCTTATTTGATCTTGTATCCCCACCTTTCATATGGAAAGAATTGATGAAGTAGGTATATGATCAGTATGGAAGTTTGTGGGAATTTATTGATTTCGAAATGTATGGCAGCAATTTTATGCAGAGTAACGACTTGACTCACCTTCTTTGACTCAAAATGATTGACATCCTTCATAGTAGGCACCTCAGTTAGGACTCTCTAGAAAAAAACAATATTATATCGATTAATAGATTTGGTGGTGACTGCTTATAACAGTTTTAACAAGAATTCAATTGGATAGAGTAACTCGATATCTAGAACCAAAAGCAAATACCCAGTAGCGCACTTATTTTTTTACTGTATGAACACTCATAGAAGGGGAACTGTACAAAACAACACTTAATTTTAAGATCGAAGAAGCTATTTAACTGCGCAAACTTCAACAGACTGAGGACAGCTTCGACCCGCAACAAAATGGTCGGAAATCGAAAGCTCATGAAGATCAGTAACATGCACAATAACTGACTTAAAGTAGAACCTCATTAATGAATGGAAAAAATACATACAGTAAACACTGGTAAAAACTACGATAATTACTTGAGAATCACATAACTCCTAAAATAATTTAAAATAATCTCAATAGTGAATATGCTTAAATTACCTTGCCAATTGCTGTTAGAGAGTTTAAAGCTAGTAAGTTCAAATAACTCGATTCAATTAGAGAATAAGTAGACTGGTCCTCACAAAACATCTCACTTTCAGTCACTTTCTGATGCTCACTCGTCGGGTTTATACTAAAACTTGTGTTATTGATGGTGTAGAAGGGGAAAATTGCCACAGCGTCTGAAACCAATTTGGTGCCTGAACACCAGCCCTGAAGAGGAGTGATCATTGAAGAGCAAGTTTGACTGAGCAATAAAATAACGGCTGGAATGTGATCAGATAAGTTTAAAGACACATAGGACTTATTTATTTCTAATTGGTCAATTTGCAAGAGAGAAAGGACGAATAAACATTTGTCTAAATTAAATTAACAATCCACCTATCAAAATGATCTTAGAACCTTCTCAATCTAGTTTTGAGAATTAGACTCTTATGAATTACTATGAAATGACTATTCAGTGAGAATCTACTTTCCATTTTTGTTAGAACATTTGGATCGCCAGTTACTAGAAAGACATTTCTCAGGAAATGTATAAAATAATCACTTATCTTGCCGAGCTATTCATGGGTGCACAGATGAGTCAACTTTATACGCTGAATATATCTCGAGCCTGAATTTCTGATATTCATCATACTGTTTAGCAGTTTATATGCTCAAGATACATTTTTGGTAGTACTAAAGGATACGAAGGAATTCAGTGACTCCAACCAACAGATGACCTGAGGAGTTAGTCAGTGTGGGACCACACAGGCAACTTAGACAAGTATTGATGGTTAGTTGCATTCAGACTAACAAGCACAAAACCCTAGTGTGATGACCATAGAGAAGGCTAATTTAGTCTTAGGCTCATAGTAACACGACTCTTGTTTGAAGCTGCAGAACCGCAACTCTGAGTAGAGAATCGGGTGTCTCGGATCGGATTCTGGATATGAAAGCCATGAAGGATCGATACTAAAATATTTCGACCTAGAGAGACATCTGACTATTTGCGTTACGTTTAATACATTTGAAATTTCATACTCTTTAAGAGACAATATTCTTTACCCACCTATAAAACCTAACGTTTCAATAACAACTATCAGTGTAACTGAAACCGATATGCTTTTTCGATGTAGAGTTTTTATTGTGTGAGCTTGTGGTGCTACCCAGTTTCCCAGGTCGAAGTAGAGTGGGGCTTAAGCCAAGGAGTCATTGCTTGAAATCTAGATCCTCACGATTTGCCAGCTTCACATTTTACGATCTTTCTGCCTAATTTCATCTGTCCTACTGGCTGCATGAAAATTAATATATGCAAATGTTTAAGGTTTCAATCTGTTCTTTTTCTGTCAAAGAACGTTGTCCACTACTTTAACTTGGAAGACGCCAATCGGCTCAGCTTATTTCAAAATTGGCACATACAGGATACGGGTAAGGTAACACCATGTCCGAGTTAAACGCATTCAGACGAACGCACCATTCTTACGACCATGATATTTCACTAGTCGACATAATATTAAAGATTTGTTGTTGTTGATTCCGAATTCGATTATAACAATGAAAAATCTAGTTCATTATGGTTGGAAAATTGTTTTTATTCACCCCATCGTATTCGTTTTGGGAAACGAGTAATAACGAAGACCAGTGGTCGCAAATAACTACTACAATAAAATGCGTAACTAAGTAAATCTCAACTTGAGCAACAAAACACCTGTAATTTTTGTTTAATATTTCGGAATAATGTTTACAGTACAGGGAACTCTAATATCACATCACGAAATTCATTACATTTCAAAATAAACACCAGGTTTTTGATAATAACAATACTATTGAGACTTATCGGGAATCTAGAAGTAAAATTTTGATACAGTACCAGATCACTTGACCGTCTGATCTTAATCTAGCAAACGTCAGGTTTAGGCTTATAATTGACTTTTGCGGAAATTGTTCTAAGAACTCAGCAAGTCCCTGATTTTAACCCTGTTTAATTATAATAATATAGACCGCCAGGCTCCGGTTGATAGCTGTTACACCTACACAGTGTTAGGGTTTGCATTCCTCAATGACACGAGTTACGCTGGTGGAAACATTTTCTCTCTGAAATGTTACCATACCGCAAAGGCTTGCTGGACAGTTAAGACAAAGAAACGGTAACTCATGGCGCAAATAGTGACAGCAAAAAGTCTTTCCCGTAGATCACTAGCGATGATGCTGGTGCTGCCTTCCTTATGGAAAATTGATGTTAAAAAGATCGGTCCAAAAATAGTAAACTACTCTCTGTCCTGAGGTTTTTGTACTGCCAAATGAGTCCTCTAGCTCAGTCAAAACAAGCTTCCCAAAAGGCTTTGACTTGCAACAAACAGATCTCACTTGGGCTATGTTGTCCTGCGTAACCAGCCTACCATTTCTCTCAGAAACGAGTATCCAGTAAGTACCAAAGACTAGAATGCTCGTAGTGGCATACAAACGCCAAACGGACCATGACCCACCTTCCTTATCTCCTTCATTTTCTGGTACCGAAGTTAGATACCTACAATCAAAGGTAGCAATCAAAGCCATCAAAATACCATTTCTAGTCTACTAAAACCACGCTGCAAATTTCAGATTGGAGCTTGCAACGTCAGAAATGAATTTCTGCCTTTTGTGGGATATGCATACAGGGTCGGAGTGTGATGATTCACTTGACCTCATTTTGTCAATTTGATGAACCTTACGAGTGCTGGAGATTTAGTGGCTAATCCCTGTGGACTCGTCAAAGATACTGCGCTGCTTTTTAGAGTAGAAAGCTCGTACTTCTACTGGATACTAGTAGATAGCCATTTGTATGCTGTTTGACTGAATGAAAAGGACACGGAAACTCATCGATGTTTACATATAGTGCCTGCCTATCTGCTCACCAACTATTTCGGACGACGAAAAAAAAGAGCTATACCCAAAACTGTCAGTTTTGCCACAAAAGGCATAACATTCAGTCATAGTAGCAAGTGACTTTAACCCTCAAGTGGGAAAGCTGAGACAATCGGGAAGGCATCTGAGAGGTATCTACAGCATCCCACACCAATAAAACGACAAAGATGATCGTCCCTTACAATGCTTCTGGTCTGACAACCACTTGTTTCTGGTCAGTATTAATTTCAAGTATAAAGGAGGACACTCACTTGGCATCTGCCATCATCGAACCAACAGTGAACACAGACCATATTGCAACAACTCATCACTGGAGGTCAGTAGACGACTGCCATCTTTTCACAAGTATTTGTTTGGACCCCGACCACACGTTAGCACAGGTACGTGTCTGCGTCCTAGTATGAGTGGGAAGCATATAGTAGTTAAACCTATGTGTGGCCAACTGGGACATCAAAACGTTAGGTGCGTATCTGAACATGACAGTAATTATCCTCCTAATGAAGCCGGGTGTGATGTTTGGTCTGCTGTAGAAACAGCAGTAAAGACATACGGTAGCCAACACCCAAAGGTTAGCAAAAGCCGGTGGAACTCCACAACCTTATTAGAGTTTGTCGATGCGGAAGAACTCATTCTAGTTGACCCTAATAATAATGAGGAGCGACAGCAGCTTAACCCTGAATTGAGTCTTTGCAACAATAGCGAGCGGTGAATGGTGAAAGCGGAAGAGATGGAGAAGTCATCAGTGCTAGGTGATACCCACACATAATTTCGGCACATTATGGTAGTAACGAGAAGACGATAGTTAGCAAAACAATCCCTGAAAAGCATGGGTCCCTGACCACCTCAAAGAACAGGTGAGGTAGACTTAGAACAGATTAACAGACCTACAACTATGCTTTTGCTGGTTAACATCTAGGTCTGTAACTGAATACGGCAAACATGTCGGGTTTTTTTAACTCCTTGAAGCTGAGGTTGTTTCATACCTGAAAGCAGCAAGACTGACCGTTCACCAACAAAATTTCTGAAGCTAGAAAATTACAGGGGTACCGCCTAGTGTACAGGAATTAGAGGTAATCTTGTCAGACTGGACTACATTGGTAACTGTTCCAGGTTGCAAAGCAGAGATGTCTTCTCGTGACAACCGAGGAAGTATCAACTTCACTAACTAGGGTAACTAATGATATCTGAGCAGTCAGGATATTTTTTTGCTTATAATGACTAACAGTGAAACTGATACATAGCCAATTAGTTTTTGTCTTGTGTAAAGCCCAATACTTTGGGTTGATTGATTCGTTATTTTATTCCCTTTTTACCTCTAATCTTCCTGTTTGGAACATGTAATCATTTCACTACAGTGAATTTCTTCCGTATTTATTCGAGGTCAGGGAAACTGATCAAGAGGTTATTCGTTATTCACTACTGATGGTCGGATTTTCTTACATTAGCTTAAAGACCGTTTCAACATGTCCAAGATCCTAGGAACCATAGTTACACACTGGCGAACCAGAACTTAAGAACAGCTAACATAAGAAGACCAGATTTTAGGCATGTCAAGTAACCTTCAGCGTCAGTTCCATCCATATTCTTGTCAGCTCTCAAGTTCCCTGAGATTATGAAGACGTGTCCTACTGAAAGTCAAGCATTTACATGCGGTTGCTGTAGCACTTGGTTTTAATCCATAAGTGGGTAGGTCTAGCAAAGCAAAGATGCACTTTCCGAACTCCAACCTAATGAAAAGAACGACGATTCCCTGATACAACTGTTTCTGGCCGGTACAAACTCCAGAAATAAAGACGTCCGATGTGATGTGTGCCGGCCGAAACTTCACGCTGAACGTTAGCTGTTGCAAGACGAACACTATTTCTGGAGCGCGTGTTTGGACTGTGATCACGCGCTGGTTCGAGTATATGCCTGTTTACTCGAGATGGACATAGAACAATCGGAAACTCGTTCCGAGTTTAGTGATAAGGACGCTGAGGCTAATTTCAAGGAGGAACCAGCTAAACAATTAACGAGAAGTTATTCTTTCTGAAAACTTAGTGTCACCTACAGCTTGTTGTGAAAACAATTTTCAAGACCCACACTAACCACTAGAGAAAAAGTTAGAAACCACATGTGGATCTCGGAAGCTTCACCTGAATTAATGAACGCATGTGATCGCACTCCCGCAAACTCGGCACAATGACTGGTGGACACGGTTCAAATGTGAACTGAAATAGTCTACACAATTACCGTGAGCTGCAGTGGATAGCCGAAGGTAGAGATAGAAAAGGTGGTGGTGATAAGTAACAATTGACCAAGGAAACTGTGATGGAAAAGTTGGTTGACTGTGTAATAGCGTTGAAGCATAGTCTGCGATTCACTGACAGAGGGAAGCTGGAACGAGGCACAGAACATTTCGACGAAGAGTTCAACTTTCAATTCTTAACCTGAAATGATGAACGGCAACAGGATCGCTTGCCCAATACGGTGGTCGATTACTGATTAGATGGACTGAAATGTCACCTAAAGTAGTGAAATGATTTCCTGATTGGTTTTCTTCACTCTGCTTTAAAAGAGAGAAATCGTCCTGTGGTAACCACAGAGACATCACTCTGAAGAATACTAGGTTTCATGATCATAGGACACCTAAGTGAAACCCTAAAACAGTGAACCAGGATTCTTTGAGACCCGGTTGTGGGTGCATAGACCAGATCATAACCATCAAGTTTGGAACACTTGATGGCATCTTACCATAGCTGAATTTCTCTACCTGAGGATAGGATTTCACTTCGTCGGTCGAGACGTCTTATGATAATGTCTCTCACTGAAATGTGTTACGTTCATCATTCTTAAGTCTTTGTACTCGAATACCTGTGGGCGCATCGGAGCTTATGCTGGATATTTAGGTGAGTTGCATACGTTGAGTGGTATTCCACGATGTGCACCACTCCCATTGCTTAGTTTTGTCAGATGTGACTATCCAGACCTCCATCTTGTCATTTGACTTTACAGACATCCACCTCATCACAGCAGACTTATTATAATTAGAGTAGGCAGATGAATTGTTACGGGAAGACGCCGCGCGATGCAGTCTTTTGAATATCTAGTGGTAAGCTGGATGTTTGGGATGAGCTTTTCAGCACCTAGATATAAACCGTTATCCCAAGACACATTTACGTCAGTGGCTTGTCTATATACAGGGAGCGAACTTCATGAGTGCGTTGACCACTCACATACTTGGGAAGTTGGATCACCCCTGGTTGGTCAGTGACCGAAGAGAATTCAGAGTCAAACGGAATTAACGTAGGACCTCACAAACATGTGCATCGGTTCGAGTTACCACGATTCATAGTAATATACAAAGAACAGGTGGATAGAAAAGGACTGACATCAAAGTAGACAAATGTGAGAGAAAAAACGATTTGAAGATAACGCATAGTGGGAATATTTAGGCTTTAGAAGACGTCAAGGAGTGAATATATCTGCGGGCTTCTTACCAATATACTCATCCTTCGATGGACAGTGGGATATTGTTGCTGCTTACATGACGCAAGTTTGAAAATGTCAAATAGGCCTTCTGTATCCGACATGAGATTTCGGCACGGATACAGCTCTCAGCATTTACGGTACAACGGTGGTATCTACGGGCTCAATAAGGCTCGAGCGCATTGCAATGAACCTCAGTCTGTTCGATGTACTACATGGGTGTGAGTAGAGATGTAGAGAACATTGGCAGCCCCAGGTGTTCCATCGAAGATGCCCGTGTGGCAATGGCCGAGTTACGGTATCAACACATTAGCGATGCAAAGACTAAGTTTAGGATTTCAGGCAGAAGAGAACAGTCAACTGAACTCGAGAACAGTTGTTAAATAAAAACGCTGACATGTCTTACGAATATTGATATTTAGGATGGAAAAAAACTAAAAATGGCTAAACTGTTTGCATATTCTAGTTAATCTTTAGGAGGTAAGAACTAACACAAAACTCCTTAGGTTGCTAATCACAATAGCACCAACATCGGCCCCATTATAACTGAACCTGTTTTAAGGACTCTTGCCGCTTCATTGCAATTTGCTCCCGCCAAACTTTCAGTTGATTAACCAAACAAAGTTCAAACACTTTTCAAACGATATTTCCTCAGGCTTACCTTAGAACTAAGTGCAATTTTATCTACAATAATAAGTTCATTTTTTAGTAACTTCATCTATGTAGCCTGATCCTGAAGTACTGCGTGCTTTATAAAATAACATAAATAGAGAAGATATCAGCTCATTTAATTGCAGAAAATAACAGGTTTAAGTGTTCTAATTCACTACGTTCGACCTTGTTTTTGTTTTAAACGTATGCTTGTGTTCATTTACATACTGTAATGAGCTAGATGTATGCATTAGAAATGGAAAACCTTCTCAGTTGAAACTTATGTTGAGGTTTGTAACTTTTTTCAGTCCTTGTGGTATTAGGGTGGTAAGTAACTGATAACTGAGGTTTATGTGCAGAAAAGAGATTGAAACTCGGGCTCTTTTTCAATGTCTGGGTGCTTATAAACACCAGTTGTATAGACTTTAAGTTGACAAAGTAACCTCAGCAGTGATATATTGTAACTGATGTCTACTTCCTTTAAGCTACACAAACATATAGTCAAGCTAACCGTGCATGAAAAACCCTGGAAGCACCACCTACATGACCTTATGCATGCACCACTATACTTAAATGCGCAGACACTGGTGTGGCATTTTATTTCACTGTATTGTGTTGATGTATGTAACAACTCATTGAATATTTTTGTTTAGTTGTTCGCTCGTTGACCAATAAAACATCCTGATATATACTTCGTGTTAACTCCTGATATTTACATTGTCTGACGTAGTTGGATCAGCAGTGTCGGGAATTATAAATAGGTGACAGTGTATATGGAAAAGTATATAAATTTGGAGTCAGATTTCAAAGCTCGACGAACTCGTGAGCCCAACGTGATTAAATTCTCGCAAGTTTCACGGGTGGATACGATTGTTGTTTTCAACTGAATGCTGCAACCGGTCATTAATAATTGTATACAATACGGATATATATATATATATATATATATATATATATACTAAGAATTTCTCTGGCTGCTTTGTGGTAGGCATTGGCGTACTTGTTTATTGTATTTTTCCTACTCTTGTTCTTAAAATCTTTTTGCTGTACCGGTACTGATGTCTTTAAACTGTCATAATCAAGACTTTTCGAATGTACGGTCCGTAGGTGCCATTAATCTTCCTATGCCTTGTTTTAAGTTTAATGACCCGTAATTGTAGCTTGTCCGTCTGGAACATTTCTTCATGGCCAATCACTTAACTCCACAAAATACAAAGTTCGGATATGCTCTGTTATGTCGGAGGAAACGGCTGAGCAAGTGAGGGAGACACTATTAAAGCCCTACCCAGACACACCTTATGATGTTTTGAAGCAAGAAGTGCTGAAAGCTACTTCGTTATCTGATCAGAAGGCAGTCGATCAACTACTAAGTAGCGTATGCCTCGGTGACAGGACACCTTCACAACTTAAGCGATATTTGCAAAGTCTGCTGA